ACACTCTGGGGCAGAGAGTTCCACTGCTGAACGGCTCTCACAGTCAAGAAGTTCTTCCTCATGTTCAGATGGTTTTTGAGCTATGTTAATCCCACGAACGAACATTACATTTTTATTTATATAGATTGTACCATATCCTAAGTTGTAGTATATACAGTATGTAATATATTAAATTACAACATTATTATTACATATTTATTTATATTTTTTATGTATTTATTGTTTTTATACCCCGCTACCATCTCCCATAGGACTTGGTGCGGCTTACAGGAGGCCAAGCCCAAAACATCATGAAAACAACAACAGCAACTAATAACTCAAAAAGCAAAAACAATACAATAATAACATGACACAGTTTAAAAACATGAGGCAGGGCCAAATGTAAAGATTTAAAGTTAAAAACTGGGAAGTTCACAGGGGATAGGAGGAATGTTTTGGGATAGGAGAAAGTGCAGACAGTTCTAAATCTCTCATAAAGTGCATTAAGGACTTACTGCTTAGGATTCCTTATTCTGGGAAGGCACACTGAAACATCCATGTTTTCAAGCTCCTTCTAAAGACTGCCAATGTTGTGGCCTGTCTGATGTCCTTGGGGAGGGAGTTCCAGAGTCGCGGGGCCACCACCGAGAAGGCCCTGTCCCTCGTTCCCACCAATCGCGCCAGTGAAGCAGGTGGGATTGTGAGCAGGGCCTCATCAGATGAACACAGAGGTCATGTGGGTTCGTATACAGAAATGCGGTCACAAAGGTAGATGGGACCCAAACCGTTTAGGGCTTTGTAGGTAAGCACCTGCACCTTGAATTGGGCCCGGAAAATAAATGGCAGCCAATGGAGCTCCTTAAACAGGAGGGTTGACCTCTCCCTGTAAGGAGCACCAGTTAACAGCCTGGCTGCCACACGTTTATTTATTTGTCGTGTCAGAGCAACCAGTCCATTATATTACATTTCTAACAGAACAAAGCAAACAAACAGATAAAATACAAAACTTGTGAGTTTGGTAGTTGGTTAAATGTCAATTGACTAGTATCTGGCCACTTGGAGTGCCTCTGGTGTTGCCGCAAGAAGGTCCTCCATGGTGCATGTGGTAGGGCTCAGGTTGCATTGCAGCAGGTGGTCAGTGGTTTGCTCTTCTCCACACTCGCATGTCGAGGATTCCACTTTGTAGCCCCATTTCTGAAGGTTGGCTCTGCATCTCGTGGTGCCAGAGCGCAGTCTGTTCAGCGCCTTCCAAGTCGCCCAGTCTTCTGTGTGCCCAGGAGGGAGTCTCTCATTTGGTATCAGCCATTGGTTGAGGTGCTGGGTTTGAGCCTGCCACTTTTGGACTCTCGCTTGCTGAGGTGTTCCAGCGAGTGTCTCTGTAGATCTTAGAAAACTATTTCTAGATTTAAGTCGTTGACGTGCTGGCTGATACCCAAACAGGGGATGAGCTGGAGATGTCTCTGCCTTGGTCCTTTCACTATTGGCTGCTACTTCCCAGCAGATGTCAGGTGGTACAATACCTGCTAAGCAGTGTAATTTCTCCAGTGGTTTGGGGCGCAGACACCCCGTGATAATGCGGCATGTCTCATTAAGAATCACATCCACTGTTTTAGCGTGGTGAGATGTGTTCCACACTGGGCATGCGTACTCAGCAGCAGAGAAGCATAACGCAAGGGCAGATGTCTTCACTGTATCTGGTTGTGATCCCCAGGTTGTGCCAGTCAGCTTTTGTATGATATTGTTTTGAGCACCCACTTTTTGTTTCAGGCAGTGCTTCTAAATATATTCTAAATTGTACTGAATATATTGTATATACTAAATATACAATATGTAATATACTAAATTACATTAATATTACATACAAGATACCAATATACAATATACCAACACCATTACATTACAAAGTTATTATTTCTATATATTATTATATTGCTATTTATGTATTTAATAAATAAAGAACATATTGTATAAATGTATAAACAATAAACATTACATTGTATAAATATATATCTCCCCAACTCTCCACTCAGTGTTGGGTGATTGTATTTGGGAGCAAGAGTCCAAAAAAAAAAAGTAACTTTGCAATCCAAATGATCACAGACTACCTCCCTCCAGCTCCAGCCTAGGACTGAGCATGCGCCATAAGGGTTCTTTCCAATCAGTCAATCAAGGCCGCTCTTGACCAATCGGGGAACGCTTTGTCCCACCCACGTCGCTTTAGCGTCGTCGCTGTCGTCAGGCGACGCCGAGCCCCTTTCCTTTAGGAGCCTCGGGCGCGTTGACGCGCATGCGCGTGTCCTTTCGTGCCGTTTAACCCCGCCCCTCGTCTTCTTCTCCTCCCCAAAATGGCGGCGGCCACAAGCGGCGAGGCGGTGGTTTGTGGCGACGGCCCGGCGGGGGGCGGGAAAAGGGGCCACTTGGGGATCCCGGAGGCCGTGTTCGTGGTGAGTAGAGGGCGGGGGAAGGGGGCGAGCGAGGGGCCGAGGAGCTTTTACTCGGAACCGGCTACCGTTGGGCCTGGAAGGCTGTGAGGGGAGGGGGCCCCTTGTGCGCATGCGCAGGGTGTCCACTGTGAAGGCTTGTAGGCCTCAGTCTTCCTTAAGGCCCTGCCACACTGCACTGTTGTAATACTGTTGTCCCTCTTTAACTGCTTATTTCATTTCGTGTCAAAAGCATTTTGTGCATAATAACAATAATAGTAATAATAATAATAATAATAATAATAATACTTTATTTGTATTCCTGGGTTCTGTTTGAACTTTTCTCCCTCCTTTGAGGATCCCATTTGGTTCAGCCCATCAAAACAGCATTCCTGTCTGAACTTTCTTACATCTGAGACTATTGCCTTCACTTGATGTATATTGCCCTGCCTGCGTAAGCTTCCTGGCGGGAAAAAGAGCCAGTGGGATTTTGGACTGCATCAATAAGAGTCTAGTGTCTGTTGTCGTTCATTCGTTCAG